TTTCTGTGTACTGCCTTGCCTAAAGTTTCAGCGCAAGCTCCAATCTGTCAAAACAAAGAAAGTCCTATTTTTCAAATACCCCTGCTCTATACAAATTATTCATTCCAGTAGGATTTTTGGTTTTGGCTGTGTCAGGGAGATCATCAACATTCAGCAGTTTTTGGCCTGCCTGTCCCCGTGCAGTGCCAATAATGACCAATCACAGCCAGGAGACTTCCATTGTGGATTGTGTTTTACAGAAACATTTCTCTGTAGCTTACATTTAAAATACAACAAATCAATGCAGCTTCCCTTCATTTTGGAATTTAAAATGAAGTCCGGATGAATTTTGGCAACATCTGCTGGAGTTGTATCAAGTATCCTTAGCCTCAGAGATGGCATCAGAAAAAGATCAGATTGGAGCTGCTGATCTTGAGAAGCCATGATGCAGCTTTTTGCAAAAAAGAGGTGGAATCTTTCAGGTGGGTAGCTTCTCCCTCAATTTAGGCTTTCCTTTTCATCAGCATAACCACTGTTTCACTGTTGTCCCCTTGAACAGAAGCTGAAAAAGACCAGGGAAAGGAATGTTTGCTGGCAGGTATGATTGTACTCCAACACAATGTTATCATCCGAACACAGTTTTGTCGAACATTTTGAGAAAATCATTTTGCTCGATCTTTGACTGTCTGCTGGGCTGTGAGGCAGCTGTTGGGAGACTCACCACCTGGTGAGCAGCTTTGAAGTACACTTTGAGGATTAAATTATTCATTCAGGATGGCGACATGTATCCAGCTTGCCTGAGACTGTGGAGAAGATTTTGCCTCCTGCAGCTCAGCTCAGCCGGACAGTCTTTTAGCACACCCGGCTTCATCCCACTTCATGAAAATTGCACTTTTCACAAAAGTCCAAATTCTTTGTAGACAAGACTTAGAAATAAAATAGAACACAGTCTCCTGCAGTCAACATGGAGATTATGATGATTATTAGCATTTACATTGTAAATGAAATGTTTTATGACCTATGGCCTTTTTAGCATGTCTGCAGGATGTCCCAGATTGGAAAATGATCATGTCCACCAGGAGACTTTAAAAGGAATCCTGCTTCAATGAAAATTAAGCAGAATAGCCAGCTCTAAAACACATATCTTCTTTTTTTACTTTTAATGCAGCTATAGCCCTTTGAAGATAAATCCTTGTGTGTTCACAAAGGTTTGAGGCTACAAATAGAAAAAGCAATTTAGATTTTTATTAATAAAGTGGGTGATTGACAGGAAATTAAAATGGGTCTGGACTGTGACAAGGAAACCCTGTAAAAAAAACACAACAAAAAACTATGCCATTATGAATATGTTTGCATTTTATGGTCTGCCCATCACCTCATTTCTTTGTCAGGAATACTGTGTATGCCTGGTTGGTGTATAACTATAATCAAACATGTTACACACTTTGCAGTATATGGGCATCCATGTTCCATTATCACAGAAAACATATAGGTCACTGTTGTAATCAAGAATACGTTTAATATAATGGTTACATGTTGCTTCTTCTCAAGAGCGAAATTATTTAAAAAAATGAAGATCATTTTGGGTTTTTCAGTAAACCTCTCAAAAGAAGTTTGGTCAAGAACAGCCTTGCTTTAGTAATCCAGCACATTTGATAATAATAATAATAATAATAATAATGCATGTCAATTGTAGAATCGTGTAGATTACATAGAAATTGTTTTATATGAAGCAGCTTAGAACTGTTAAAAACGGAGAAAAGATTTTTTGTGCTAGTGAAATCTCACCAGAAAAATGTCTGTACAGGTGATTATGCAGCAGCTTGTTACCATATTTACATTTTTTTTTAGGCTGTGACCTCCAGTGCCGGAAAAAGTCAGATGACGTAGTATAAAGAGCGACAAAGTACATGTAAGGAGGTGGGTGGATGGGATGTATCAAATAAACTCAGGACACTCAAGAGAAGAGGTTCAAGTCCTGTGTGAAAGAAAGTTAGACTTCAAATAAGTTCAAATAATGTGGCGTATGTCACTTACATCACGTGACTTACGTAATGTACTTGTTTTAACCTAAACCACAGTATTTTCCTAAACCTAATCAAGTAGTGTTGTTGCCTAAACCTAACCCAACCACACTACAACCGTTTCACAACATGAGTTAAACGTCATGTTAATCAGGCCATGTGACTTATGCATGTCGTTTTGGGTCAATTGACCTAGTTTGTCATTTAGCTATAAGGATGTGTTGCAAAATCTCTTTAAATGTGTTTTCTAATTATATAATAAATGGTACAAATGCCTTATTAACTAATTATGACAGCATGCTGCATGTTCATTTGAAGAAAATCAAGAAAAGATAAACAGAAGGCACAATATTTAATGTAAATAAGCCCTAATTGTTTCTCAGCGGAGCAGCTCTACATTAAGCCAGGAAGAAGAGAGAGTTGTTAGAAAGAGAGACAGTTTCATAATTCTGTCCTACACACTGTGATATCTCTGATAATGAGCAGCCTTCCCTCATTGTGTCACGATATACAACGTAACCTGTCAGCTAATGTGCTGTGGTTATTGTACAGCATGATTTACATCGTGGTTTTGGTGAGGAATTACTGTGTTACAGAACCAGATTTCCTGTGTAATATTAACTGTTACCCACTACCAGGACGAATGCAATGAGCATGCAGTGAGATACTGTATGATTTTATCTTTACTGACACAGGGGAACAAATTATGAGAAGCCCCTCAAGGCCTGCATGCTACAGAAAAGTGTGAACCCTGTGGTTATGTAATAATTGTCTAGCCTGACTCGCTCAATACACCACAAATTTTACTATTCTGAGATCAAGTTGTAGCAGGAAATTTGCCACTATTTCTTGACCAGCAGAACAAAGCATCTCCACCTTGTTAGCCGTGATCATTTCTAAAACAGGGTATAGTCTCTGCTGACTGTTTTCTTCCTCATGGGATATATTAGGCTGTATATGGTAATGTCTATTATGTAATTTTCACATATCCCTGTTGCCCAACTTCTGAAACCGCTTCCTGAAACAAAGATACAAGACTTCTTTTGATTCATATTTGAGGCCGGACTGAGATGGTGTCAGCTTATTATTTTATGTGGCTTGCCACATTAATGATCATGCTGTACTGTTCAGTTGTATGAGTGAAGCAGGCCCAGTGTAACATGATGTCTGACAATGTAACTGCTACTAAAACTGCACTGAGATTGACCAATATGACTGCCATCACATCCACAACGCCCCAGATCTCTTGTAGATGCTATACTCTCTCAGGTATATGTAGCTTGAGGGTACTTCCATGTGGCACAGATTTAATTATGTGCCATATTTAGACATAGTTTAAACTGATTTGAGGGACATAAAGAAATGATAGAGTCCCAGTATTCCAAGATGAAGCACAGCTGCACTCAGAATAGCAGATAATCTGGTTGAGTATGCCTCCCACTATCTCTGCGGGTCCTGACAACCCCAGACAGGTCTCCACATTTAGTAATTAAATTAGACAGTCATAGTTTGCTGCCAACTTTTTTGATGATTGGAAATGAATGGAAGGACCCTTATATAATAACAGAAGTCAAATAGCACCTCTTGGCTGGTATTCCTGAATTTAGAAACTATTGGGAATGTCTATCCCCCCAATAACATTTATAGTCTGAGATGGAGGCGTACGGCACCATATGTTCCTAGATTCCGGTAAAGCTTCCTGTTAAGGGGAAAATAATTCATCTTGTCTCATCTGCTCACAGACCAGTCCTGAAGGATTTATCACTAATTCAAGTGGTTTCTAAACTGTTTAAATTACAACCATGAAGGCTGTACTTTCCACCATAATCTTCTTACGTGTTGCCATCTGCACCACAGAAGACTTAATGTCGTTCCAAAGAGGAAGTGGCCAGCAGGACCTAAGATCATTGTTAATGGCAAGTGGGGGCCATGAAAGCGAACTTGACGAGGGTCAGACAGGATCGCTGAAGTGGTGGTTATCCTGCAGACTGAGATAATGAACTATTCCATGGAAAATGTATCCATTGGTCTCCCCAAGTACATACATACACTCCAAGTCCAAAAGTATTTGGAAAATATGATTTTGTGACCCTCTCCAACAGTTTTTCAGGAAGCCCATTTTATAATGTTTTTACTTCTCAGGTAAAGTGATACCGGCAAACAAACAACTCGAAATTCAGGAGCAAGGGCAAGAATACACCTAGCAATATCCTCGAGTTTGGCTGATAGGGCGCCGCCATGTTGAGTTTTTGCAACCACCAGCACCGGACGTGACCATATTTGGACAAAACAGTGGAGCTAACGGCTGTGTGCGGAGCTAGAAGGATCTGTAATTCAAGTTCAGCAATTAAGTTCAGCAATTAAGTTCATTTCAACAGGTCTGACAATTTTGTCTAGCGAACAACAGTCTAAAACTAAATGTACTCACCAGAGAAAGTGAACAGCCAACTCCTAATAAGCTTTTTCAACGGTGCTGGTTAAATTTACATGGTGTCGTGGGTAGGAGTCACTCTCATGTTGTATTGAAGTAGACATGAAACTAGCGATTGAGACCATAAACTCATTATGAAAGTGTTTACTGAGGTAATTAATAAGGTGAGAAGCAGGGTCATTTTAGCAGGGTCATTTTACCATTATTTCTAACTTCTTTTTCGAACCAGCAGAGTCGCCCTCTGCTGGTTGTTCGATAGAATGCAGGTTTAAGGGACTTCTGTATTGCCTTCCCGCTCGGTTTTTACGGTTTCTGGGTGATGAGCCCTTCATCCTGTATTTGCAAACTGAGACTGCTGTGAAAGTGAAACTCTGTAGACTGACTGACAACCTCAACTTTATCAAATTAAAAATATATCTGGTCATGCAGTGTACATAATAATATAGGCTAAATCATCCTTAAATTATAATTTATACTGGCTGTAGAAAAATAACTGTGAAGAAGACTTGTTTGTAGGTAACAATGTGTAGACCTGTGTGAGTCTGTTAGCAAAAAATAGTACAGACATGAGGCCTAAATGAGGACCCCCAATAAACCTGTTCATTTTTGTCATAATAGGTAAGCAAACTAAATGTCAGCGTCCTACAAATCAACATATGTGCCCTCCAAAATATACTTGCCATTTATTACAAGTATCAGGTAAAAAATATAATTAATACATATTTTAGATTGATAAAAATCATTAAATGCAATAAGCAACAGAATGCAGAACAAATGGGCTGAAATTGTGTAATTTCTTCCACTAACTAACTAAGGTCACAAATGTGACAGGAAGTCGAAGTACACCCACATGCCTAATTGAGTTATCAGACAGTTGGCGAACAGGTGACACGAGAAAATAATTTGTTTTAAATTTCACAAAGACTGACTGAATGTTTACAGCAGCAGAAACGAAGCCAGATTCTGCAGCAGCACCAGAGGAGACAGTTGGCACCGAGGTGAGCGCGAAAGGAGGAAAATAACCCGAGTTTAGAGATGACTATAAGTGGTGCCAGGAAAGCTAACGTTAGCACCCCGGCGGCTAGCATCGGCCAGGTGCAGCCAGTCAGCCACCCTCCTGCCTCTGCTACTCCGCTAGGATCGCTGCCACCACAAACTCTGGGTGATTTTTGGATTGATAAACTATACCTGCAGTGATACTCAGTCCGTTTTGTTGTTGTTGTTGTTTTAACAAATAAAAGGCGCTCATTTGTGAGCAGAGAGTGGTTGGAATGAAGTCAGATGCTGGATGTTATTTTAATGGGTTTCCTGATTGAAAAACATTTACACTGAACTTTAAAGAACCATGCTTCACACACTGAAGGCCCAGTTAGCCCAGAGACTTTACCTGCCAGTGCACAAATAACTGGAACCACACTCCACACCTGCAGCTGTTTTAATGGTGAGTAAATCTGTCTTTTTTTAGTTTTTCACCAGTGGCAATGTTGTGCTTCTGTTGTGCTACAAGTTAAATTGCACACCAAACTTATCTGCATCTGCCTCCTCCACATTTTGTCCCGATTGTCTTTAGCATTGAATATTGGATATAAGACTGCTAAGAGACTTGTGTTTTGCTTTGTGTGATGTGTTGATGCTTGATTCAGTTTAGTTTGGTTCTGGTTTGGTGTCAGTGTCCTTGCTCACACAGCGGTCTGGTTAAACCTACTTCTATCAACAGCCTTGAAGCCCATCCATAAACCCTGCTGCTTGTGTGGTTATTTAAATGCCTTAGCCAGAATGCTTTATGGGCATAGTTGTTTCTGTGTTTCAAAGCCCGATGGTAGCAGCTTTGAAGCCAAGTAATAGGGGCAATAATAACTTGGAATGTGATTTGTGGCACCAACCAGCAAAATGCGGAGAAAGTTTTGATTATATTTTGTCTTTGGTGTTTTAATTGACAAAACTTTTGGCGTTTTTTTTTTAACAATACCCTGTCACCAAACTTTAGCAGGACATGATTTTGTTATTGGTATATTCCTAACTTTTCCATTAATTATTTTGTTTTTGTTGACTGAATGAGTCAATTAATTCCATTAAAGTAGCACAGAGTCTGGCAAGACTTTCATTTCACCAGACACACTGCTGAGTTGAAAATCCTTATTTACTCCATTTTCTGTGCAGTTATCCCTCGGCTGCTCTTATTCTAGTTCGCAGTCTGTAAGCCGGCGCAGATTAGTTGACTTATTCATTACAGAGGGTGTCTGTTGTCGATTGCAGAGCTTAGCCAGTGTGATTAATGTTGGGTTTGTGTAACTACCAAAGCAAACACAGACTGGTCTTTTAAAGGGTCTCCTCCACCAAGGGATGCATTGGAAAGATATACTTACAATATGTCACACACTGTGCGTTGTTCAGATCTTTTCTGTTAATGTTTTGTCCATGAACAGATTAATCCACTGAGGCACCAATTTTTATTACATGCAATTGTGTTTCTTTCAGCTAATAGGCATTACAAGAAATGGCCAAATAAGTAGTAGAGTGTGTGTGTGTGTGTGTGTGTATGTATGTATGTGTATATGTTAGTAGAACTGGGAAACGTTAACAAGAATGATCTCCAGTATCTTGCACAGGAGATGCACGATTAATGCATGAAGGATGAATTTTACACTATCAGTCACTCTGTGAATGTATAAACAATGCAAAGAGTTTTTCTCCATAAAGATTTTTTGCCTCAGGTCGGTTCCTTTCTGCCAACACTGGTTTGATTTATTCATTGTTGATACAAAATATTATGCAGGTGAGGTCTGCTGATTCTCCGGTATGTTTAAATTTGTAGTAAAACTTGAGATTTACCTCTGTTAAAATCCTCTTTTCTGTGACATGGATATATCACTTGTAATTCTCTTCTACATTGTGTGTGTGTGTGTGTGCGCGCGTGCGTGCTTGTCTACATGCGCATTCTTGCTGGTGTGTGCGCATTCATGAATACGCACATATGTATGCACATGAAGCCTCTGCGCAGTTTCAGCTCAGTTTTAGTGTTGGACATGGGCAATTCCCCGAGGCAAGGATCCACTCTCCACCCAAACAATGAGGTGCAGCTTTTGCTCTCTCGGTGAACGAGGGGAAGCAAGTCCGTTCAGGAGGTCAGCTCCGAGCTGTTGACACTGCTCCCTGGTTGCCTGTAGTTCTGGGCAGAGCCTCATTATCACAGGGTCTGCTTGGAAGAGAGTGGGTTTCGTTAGGAAGCAGCTGTCAGTGCTGAGGGGGCGAAGGCAAAGGGAAAGAGCAGAGAAAGTAGAGCCTACTCTGCTGTCCATTCGCAGTGGCGCTCAAGGGCCAGTTGGCTGCAGTATTAAAGTCTGCTTTTGTGTGTGTGTGTGTGTGAGATTCTGGCCTGTGTGCATGCATGCAAGTGTAACATGAATCCTGGAGCTAGTACTGCAGTAGTTTCACTTATTACAAGTATTTTTTTGTAATTATTTCATTTGTGTTGAGGACAAGATATATGCTGGCATACGCATTATTTTATTTTATTTTTTTAATGGAAATTTAAAATTGTTTTATTTTGTACGTAAATATATATTTATCTAATAAATACAATAGAAAAGGCCCTTTACATAAATAAAGCATTTATACAAAAATACACACAGCACATGTTAGCTGCATTTTTGTCAGAATATTATGTCTTCAGCAACATTTGCTTGACTTCAAAATATCTTGTTCAAAGTGGGGAAAAAAGTTTTGAAAAATGCTAAACCATGCAAATGGATAAGAATAACAATAAAATGACATATCTGAGGCAAGGGCCAAGGAAGAAAAATAATTGCAGAAAGACATTTTTTAAAACATTATGGGAAACAAGATGAGATGTATAGTCGAGGTCTGCAGATGTCAGGTTTCATGTCTGTCACACTCGATCAGTGACCGGAGCTAATGAGATGCTACATGCTGCCTGGGACTCGAGCTGGAAAACTGCTGTTCTGGTGCACATTAGAATCTGGGGAATTCCAAAAATCTTGCATCTGGTGAAAAACAGAGCAAGCCTCTGTGGCACAGTGGCCATTAACTTCTTGGATTTACTGAGATACGATACCCTGTTGAGAAAAAGTTTCCACACTGATGAGAGCATTTCTTCCAACTTTACCAATTTTCTGCCCAGCGGAAGCAACACAAGGCAGGAAAAGCAGCTGCCAATGTCTTTCTGTTAGGAAATGTAATGGATTTTAAATGATGACATACAGATGTAGTCAAAGAAGTATGTGTGCCACAGTGGAGTGGATTAAGGCACAGATCAGCGAGTTGTAGAAATAGTAGGAGTGATATGGTGTTGCTTGAGGAAAGTTGAGGCAGTTTAAGCGATTATGATTTAGCATGTAAAATAATAATTAAAAAACCATTTGTCAGCACGTGGAGAGGGGGGATTTGATGTTCATTGCTTGTATTTTATTCAGTTGTGTGTTCAGTTGTGCATTACACAAACCACTGAACCTTTATTTAACACAGGCTAGTGCATTTTTCCCTAGAGAGATGAAAGTACCAAGAATTAATGCACTTCTTTTTCTTTGCATGAGTGGTCCCACTGGGAATCAGACCCCTGAGTCTAGTACTGTTTGCAGTGTACTCCACTGCCATTAACAATGTTATGTTTGAGTCATGATTGACAACCGTCCTGAGACATACTGGTGAAAGGAAGAATCAGATATATCTACAAATACTTGCAGTTACTTTTAATCACTGACATCTGTCATCTAGAGCTGAAACAATTGTTCTCTTAAGGAATTGAACCAATTTTTGATTGATTAGTTGTTTCAGTAGTTGAAATTTACTGCTTCCAGCCTTTCATATATGAGGACCTGATGCTCTTCTTTGCCACATATGTTTCAATATATTTGGGATTTGCACTGCTGGTAGGACTAAACATGCCATATGATAATGTCAGCTTGGCCTCTGGGAAATTGTGATGACAAGTTTTTCAATATTTTGAGACTTCAGATTAAATCAGAGATTAAAACCAAATTTCTCATTTGATTGGTGGTGTATCTTTTGCTGTGTAATAATTTATCAATGTTCAATCACATGTAGACATTAAAGGTGGGCTAAGCGATTCTGGAGAATTCCATGACAAATACCACGATATAGAGTAAGTAATGTAACTAACGTTAGCTAAGTTGTGGGTTAGCAAACTGTTGATACATATGCCGTTTTACGCAACTGCCGTGACGTAATATTCAATGCGACACACACAGCAGAAACAACAGCGAAACATACACAGCTGTCTCTTGATTTAAGTTAAAGCATTTCAACATTACTCAGAATGTAAAGACGGATAAGCGGTATGAAAACCTTACTGCCGTGACGTTGGGACCAGAGGGCTCTGTGAGCAGGCGGCTGGCCGGCCTCGCTAGCTCCTCCCGCGGGTTGGCACGGGCTTCCCCCGCCGCCGTGATGATGATGCAGTGAATAGTGATGATTCTCTCTGACCAATCAGCAGTCTGCTGTGTTTTCACGTCACATTTTATTATCGCCTCAGCTCACTTGGAACCTCCACGGAGGTGATACAAAAAAAAGCACCTGGAAGCAGGTACAGGTACACCATTCCTACAAGGGAAAACCAAAAACAGGCGAGGCACAGAAATAAATCTCACCTGATTATTAAATCCAGCGACTTTGTCCTTTTATCACATCATCCTCTCATGTAAGTTCTTTGACTTCAGTACTTCAGCTTCACCAACGTTAGCTTCAGTCATTGAGAGAACACGTTACACGTTGGTTATGACGCCACATAAGCGACTTTTGGGTTTTTGCGACTTTTGGTTCTTTGTAATTATGTATTTTCACAGTCTTCAACAGTTTTACATCAAACTGCGACTTTCTTGACTTTTAAATGTATATTTTAAATTGAACATTATCATATGTGCAATTCAGAGCACAATTCAAATGGGATCAAAAAATTTGTTGTCTCTTCCCATTGACTACCATACATATTTTTTCTGAAGTAAGGTCACATGGTGGTCCACCAGAAGGGGAGGGTCTTAGGCTCTCTATTTGCTGCTGTGAAGCTAACACGCAGGGAGGACGAGATGGTCTTCATGTTTTGGCAAACCAGACTGTCTGTGGGAAAGTCAATCTAACGTTACCTGACACACAAATCACGGCTGGAACAGCTGGAATAGTGTTGTGTGTCCTCAACACCTGATGTGCAAAGTAAAGTGCTTTTTTAAAGTTTCCCCTGACTTAACAGTTCAAATCATTGTGATCACACCAGTTTACTGTTGTGGTCATGACTCAAATGCCAGTAGATTGCAGTTCACCCAGGACTTCACCCAGTGACTAAAATGCAGTTCTGGCTTGATTACATTTCAACCAAGGTAATCCCTCGGATAACAACTGGCCCAGGAAACATTCACCATTGTTGTAAGTCTGAAAGTCCAGTCGCTTAGTCACTGAACTATTGCCGTC